TTATAATTCCAATTGTCCATTCATAACATTTAGGTACTTTGAGTCGCGATTAAGGGTTGATTACCTGATCAGGTGATTATACTGTACATATACTGATTTATTTTAAAAAATATAATCAGTCTAATCGCCTGATTAGTTAATCAAGCCTTAACCGAGATATGCTATACAGGGTGATTCACAAAGGTGACGAAAAATGGAATCTTTTCACCGAGGCTTCTGACTGAGTCATGTTCGCATTGTTTTGTTCTTGAGCACATTCTTGTGTCATTTCGTTACATCCGCCACAGATTATCATTGTAGATTTTCGTAGTTCGTTTGAGACGGTGGGATTTGCGCTTTTTCTGGTGCGATATTGATACGTCGTTGGAGGTGACGGCTTTTGGTTTCAGCTATTTCACACCGTAGATGTTGTGTTTGGTGATCGCTGAGCAATTTCTGTGAATTTCGATCTAATTTCCCAAAATATTCGATACATCAGCGATTTTCTTGACGATCCACGGCGGTCGCTCTGTCATCAGCATTGGGCTCTGCGGACGGCATTTGCTTTGGCCTGGAATGGTGAAAATTCCCAACCGGCACTACCTATGTTCTTTTGAAGTAGTGTCCGACCCTATGAAAGACTTCTCGGTGTAGATTGGAAACATAGGTGAAATTTGATAGTTTTAGTATACAAACAGTATAAAATTAAATATTTTCTGTTTAGATGTATTTGGAATTGAATTTATACCATATTATTTTCATTTTCCAGTTTCTTCGCATCATTTAATCTAAAAATAACCCGTAAACTTGTGAAAGTTTACTTGTTTTTCTTCTTCAAGCTTTGAAGTAATCAATCAACAATCCAATGTATTTAAACATTATTATTTATTACAGGTTGTTATAAAATAATTCTAATTCTCACACTATTGTTACCATGCATTAGACTGAAAAATAGTTCCCTCATTATTTCCGTAAATGTAACCGTAGGCCATCTACTAGACATCTATATTAATGTGCAATGAGTAATAAAATAAAAGTTCAGTTTCGAACTTAGGGTTATAACGGTCCATAAACGTAATAGCCAAAGTGCATGTTCGCATTAGAGATACTCTGACGCAAGCTATCGAGGAGTATCGACATTTATACACTTTTATTCGTTATTATAAAACCCAAGGGTGTAAATGGATGATATAATAGCAATTCTATTACCACTCAGGAATTATATATAAATAGTTTATACGGGGTGTAATACTGCCGTTGCGTTGACCTTCTAGGATTGGTTTGTCACTTCAAAGTAGGGGGAGTAACAATTTTTTCCTGAAATTATTCCTTTTATCTCTGTGAGAAAAATGAGAAATTAAACAATTTTTGAATAGTTTAATAAGAATAGTTGAAGGAGTTTCGTCTGCAGAAAAGTCTGACAGATTTCATTTGTTACAAAACATTATTTCACGTCGATTTTATATTAATTTGAATAGATCTTCTCCAACAAAGGACGCGCCAATACAGTCTAGCGCCTGTGCTTGCAGAAATTTTGTGGTGTATGTGTGCAAAAAATTCGATGACGCCCATGAAAATGTAGTTTTCAAAACACATACATACCGTACGTATACGAATACATACTATAATTATACAATGCAGACATTTTAAAAAACTTTTATTAAAAAAATGTGAAATTAAAAAACCTCTTTAACGCAAAATAAACAGATACGTATGTACTTACTCGTCTACATTTAAAATATAACACTGATTAATTTTAATAAACGGAAAATTAAATAAATTCTTCAGAATAATGTCACAAATAAACAGAAAATATAAGTTTAATGATTTTCTTATAATACGATGAATATCAATGTGACGCTGACGCCTGCTGTAGGCTCATAATTGATCTTAAATAATTTGTTAATTTGACAAATTTAATTTGTTTCTTAAGGTTTAAACAGAACGTGCAACGTTCTCAATAATAGGGTTTTTGTTTTAGCGAAAATAAAAAATTATGTATCCCTGAATCGGTTTACAGCTTCTTTTGTCGGCCATCAAATTCGGCGCCCCTTCAACCTGGCGCCACACATTGCATACGTAGACAGCTCGCTTTTGTCTCCAACCCAAACTTTTGTAGGAAACATTTTTTTTTAAATTAACAGTTATTTTTCTGTAATGATATTTAATTAGCATTACTTTCAATGCTTCACAAATTGATGATATTTTACGAAATATTTTGAACGATAAAATAATACATATATTTTTTTAATAAGCAATAAGCCTTTTCATTTCATAGTCAGCTGTTCTTTTCTAGGTCTATAAAGTTTTCTATAATGCGCATTATTTATATACATATTTCTCCTTCGACATATTATGTGCGAAATGACAGTTTCTATGAAATTTATTATGAAAATATTTCTTGATTAAAACTAAAACTAAACTACATTGAATTTCAGTTCAATCAATGTAAGAAAATTTTTGTACATAGTCTTTGTTTTTCAATTTGTTACCCCTGTTTATATGAATATTTCCATAAAATCGTTTATAACATTGAATTCGATATGTTCAGGATTTAATTTTATAATAGTAAACATATATTCATTCCATCGACCTCCCATTATTTTGAAATACGATATTTGATTTGAATTACGTTCTCTACATTGACACGGTGATGTCGGAGTTATCAAAATATATTCTGTTGTACTCTGAACATAGATTATGTTATAATAAACCCTTTGGCGTTAATAATATTTAACATGCATGCCTAATACATACCAAGTCGTCAGTTTCAATATTATTACATTATGAAAATTTGTTTTCCATGTACATGTAGTTCATGTAATTTTTTATTCAATTAACAATAAATGGTAGACTTATAAAAAATATTTGGAACGTACAAGATGTACTGTCTAGGATCCGATACTGATTATTATTAAACTGCATGGTCCCTCGGTTGACGTTCGAACACACATTACGTTGGCCCGCGTCAGGTCAAAGAATGGGTGTTTCGGAATAACGTCTCTCTGTGAATTGTGGACGTCTCCAAAGAGTTCTGAGTCTGTAAATGATTTTGATAATCCTAAGGCGATGTTGTAGTTCGAGTTTTGAATTTTTTGGACATTAAATTTTCCCAAAATTCGAAAGAGGGTTGGAAATTTTCGCACTTTCCTTCCTTTTGTCTGCTTCTGGGCGATAAGAGGCATGCGTGATCATCGTCGTCTGATACGGCTGATGACTTTTGGCGGCAATCATAGCTCCGTGACGGGAAATTTTCGAAACATGTCTAAAAAATTTGGCGTCTTCCTGCGCGGTCTATGAAGGTTTCGCGGGTCGTATCAGCATCTACCAGACGTGGCGTGTGGGAGAATTCTGAGAAATTTAGAAACTGGTGAAAATATGTTTTCCCGTCCTGGGCCCTTCGATCTGCGTAGTAGGTCGTCTGCGGTTGTTTGTCCGTGGTTCCGGTAGATTCTTTGGCAAGAACTGTGCCTATTATCGAGCTTCTTGAAAGATATCGAAAATATAGGTGAATTTTTCTAAATATTTAATACTTATAAAATAAACAATAAACTGTAATATCATCTGCTGCCAAAATCCTTGTAAGTTGTCGACAAATTTAAAATGTATTTACATTTAATCAAATTTTTACTTGGGAACAAAAAAAATGTAACCACACTACTAATAAATTAAAGTTCTGCTTCCTCCCACATAAAAGAATTTATTAGTTGCACTTATTATTACAATAAATCATTCTTTATATTATTCGTCTGGTAACAGAATTATGTACGTGCAGATTTAAAGTTCCAATGCGAATGCAGTATACGGACAAAACACAGATACCGAAATCCTCTATAAATCACATTGCCGCCTTTAACTTTTCCAAAACAAACTTCATTGAGCGCTACGCTTTTCCGCCCCATGTGTCTGCGAATAATTGTTGTTTATGTGACGCTATACGTGTTGCTTAATGCAATGTTACCCCTAAAGAGCATCTCTATTACCGCCAGTACAGTGGCCTTCTAATTCTACCCCTTAATTATAAATTTATTATGCATTTTGGAGAAAAATTATCCGATGGTCAGTAAACAGTGCATAAATTTATTTTCCATAGAGGGCAGCATAAAATCCAGTTTTATGAACTCATTTCCGGATGAGAAATGCCACTTTATAGATAGTCTTGTTATGCGCCTATTAATTAAATTAAATATAATTATTAAGGTCTTAGGAAAAATTAACCAGGCATCTTGGGAAAAGTCTGCTTTTTCGTTCATAAAAGTGCAAATATTTGTCCTATTTATCTTTAACAATCAAAGAGACAACGAAAATAAATAATAAATATTCTCAAAATTTCATTTTGAAAAATAGAATAGAAATAGAAGTCCATAGCATCAGAAGTATTTGAAGAAGCTCAAGAAGAATATTTGAATTATGCCTCAGTAGAGGCATACAAAATAGAATTAATTATACAACTTTGATAACCGTAGATGAAAAAAAAAAACGCGGGGTAACAGCAATAATTACGGAAATTGTTCTGTCGACGTATTTCTTTAATGGTACATACCATATGAGTAACTAAATAAGAGGGTTTTATTCTGTGTATTCTGTCGACAGCAGCGGCAGAGTACCGCCATCTGTAGCTGGTGCAGCAAACCACACACTCCGAAACCGCAGACCATAAAATAATTATGGAAACTGCATTGAAAAACACAATTAGAGTAACCATTAATTCTACTATCTAATAGATGTCGCTGTCCATTTTTTTATCTAGGTTAGGTGTGGAAGAACAGCAAAATATTTTAGTTTTTATAAGTCAATAACTACCGACGTTTACGTATAAAATATTAATCTTTTCGATTTTAAATACTTTAATAAATTGTTTATAATTTGACTTGTAGCATGTTTTCTGACTGTAAATTCACACTAATGAAAAAAGTATTATTTACTTGTTGCACTCCATACTGATATTTTTAAGTGCGAATTGAGTCTAATATCTGTAATATAACTGATATGGAAGTATAATCTTTTTTTTTTCTTTTCAGCTGTTTATGCCAAAAATGCAACGTTACAAATTCAACCGTCCCAAGCCACGATATCTAAAAGAGTTGGGGAGAGCATAGCATTAACTTGTACGCCGAACGTTGAGGACACTTCTCAAGTTGGCGGTTTAGAATGGAGGGATCCAAAAAATAGGAAAATAGACTATAACAAAGCGAATCCTATATTTGTACAAGTAAGAAATAAATATTTTAATTACAATATGTGTACATGGAAAGCTTTCTAAAAATTTAAAATAACGAATACATTTCTTTTAGAAATGGCCAAATCAGCCAGGGATAATATTAGTCTTTCCCAGTCTCACAGAAAATCAGAGCGGCACCTACACATGCCATGCAAATTATGGGGCAGAGGAATTAAATCAGCCTGTTCAAATGGAAACATATAGTAAGTGATGCCCATTCCATTACCAACCCAAACCAACCCAGCCATACCCAATTTCAGTGTAAGCACTTAAAATTTCATTTTCAGTGGGTATAAAATTTGTGGATGCTCCTGAAAATCAGTACCCGGTAATAGGAAAAGACTTCATAGTGAAATGCAAAGTAACAGGTAATCCACCACCTATTATCGACTGGAATAAGGATGGCGACTCAATTGTCTCAAATGAAAAATACGTAATTTCTGATGGAAACCTTATAATAAAAAATGTAACAGAAAGTGATGATGGAGTCTACAAGTGTCAAGCTGTAGTAGTGAAGAGCGGGGAAACGAAATCGAGAAACATTAATGTACTTATAACAAAATATTTAATTTTAACTTTACTCGTAAATCACTAAACTAAAATTGTTTTAGGTTGAAGTCCAAATTCCGCCAAAAATCACTCCAATGGAAAGTGTTACTATCATTGAGGGTGAAACGGCTTCCATAAAATGTACTGCTGAAGGAAAACCACCACCAGTCTATCAATGGATTAAACTTAGAGACCGTCAAGATTTAGCAGTAGCCGACAGATTTGAAGTTAAGAAAAATACTGGTGAACTGATAATGAACAGAATTGAATTTTATGATGATGGAGTGTACAAATGCATTGCTGAAAATACTGTGGACAGAGTGGAAGCTACAGTTAGAATTAATGTATTGGTTAAACCCAGGATATTTGAATTATTGAATGTTACTGCTCCGCAAAAAGTTGAAACATTGAAGATTATGTGTAAAGTTGCTGGTAGGCCTCCACCACAGGTTCTGTTCAGAAAACTAAGCAATACAGAACCTTTCAAAATTGGAAACCAACCTGATAATCCCAGAATAACATTAGACCAACAAATTTTTGAAGACAGAGGAGAAACATTTGGAACTCTAATAATTTCTAATCTAAACAGAAGTGATGATGGATTATATGAATGCATTGCAGAAAACAGAGCTGGAACTGCATATAAAAATGGTCATATTACTGTCGAATTTCCTCCTACGTTTGAACGCACCAAGAACTTACCGCCAGCATGGAGTTGGGACAACAAACCTGGAAATCTATCTTGTATACCAGAAGCCATACCAAATGCTACAATAATTTGGAGAAAGGGTGGCATTGAAATTCGCAATAATAACAACTTCAAAATAGAAGGAAATGGTCCAGTATCACATTTAATTGTAACTCCTTATAATGAAAGGCTGTTTTATACCACATATGAATGCATTGCAACCAACAAGTATGGCACGGCCAGCATAGGACTTGAGTTAAGACATGCTGAAGTACCACGAGAAATTGCCGAAGTTAAACCAGAAACAATAACAGCTACGACAATTAAATGGAGCATAATACCAGCTAGTCATTTTGAGGGACTGCCTATTAGATCTTATACAGTTCGCTATAAGCCAAATAAAGAGTTATCCTGGACTAATGCACGTAATCACACTTGGAGTTATGGTAAGATTATATATTTTTTTAGACATTTTAAAAAAAAATTCCAGGTCAGGTGAATGTTATACTTGGCTAAAAACATATTGATAAATAATGCAGTGTGAGCCAGTGCGATGATGAAGAATCCATGACTTTTTTCCCACAATTCGGGGATTTTTTTTTCTGATTTTTTCACATAGTGAAATACAAATGAAGGCCAAACTAGTATGTCTGTAGTTACAGTAAAGACAGCAATTGACACAGTTGTCTGTTGTACGACTTTGGCGCATGCATAGTTCATCTGTAGCAACATCAGTCTCGTTATTTTATAGCCATACCTCATGCAATTGCAAATAAAATCATTTATCCAACACTTGTATACTATAATTTTTTTGGTTTCGAAGGAATAATGTGGCCTATAAGTCACTAGTGAGTTATAAGTCATACTAGTAACTTATAACCTACTAGTGAGTTGCAGAAATCATGAAAATACAAGTAATGTTTGGTTTTAGTGGATGGAGTCAAGATAGCTTAAAATTACGCATTATTTTGAAATTATTATGGGAAGCATGGGTTTTTCTAAAACCTTTTGAAATTACTTGGAGATAAGTATTAGAAAAAAGTTATAAACTTATTTTTGTACGCTAATTGATTTTTAATTGTTTAAACAATAATAAATAATTTTTTACGAACATTTAAAATATATTCAATGAATTTTAAATCAAATTCTTTCAAATTGACAATTTTGACGTCACTAAACAAGAATATGATGTCAAAAAATGAAAATTCACAATGGTTGATCCAATATGGCCGACTATTTTAAACTATTTATTTAACAATTATCGATTTTAAAGCAAACTCGCTCATATTTGTAATATAGAGGTTCGAAAAATGAAAATTATAAATGCCTAAAGAGGTTTTGTTGAAAATATGTTTTATTTTTTAAAAAACAAATTTATTACAAAATAATTAATTTTTAAATCTCATCGAGTTCTTGCTCTTCTTCAAGAATAACTGGGCAATTAAGGCAATTTTCTGTAACACATTATTTTTTTGCTGTTATAACAATTTTCCACTTATTACTATAAATATAAAAATTATTTTTCGCTGGATTTACTTTCTTCAAGGTCTTAACTTAATTCTTTGATGGTTTATTAAACAAAAAAATTTTTTTGTACATTATTAAACTTTATTTAACAATAAATTTCACGTTTTTCATGAAATATTTTAATTTTTTGTTATTTTTTGTTTTTCAACTATTATTTCAATTTTTTAAGAAAAATAAAATGCACCATCTTAAAGTAGATATTTTAAACTTTAAAAAGTGTCCTCATAAAGTTTCAATATCACATTTACAACTATAGTTTTTGATCTATAAAGTATGGCCTAAAAAGTCAAATTTGTGATTTTTGAAAATTATTGAAGATGTTGGGCTCGATATTTTCAAAATTATTATTATATTATTATAATATATTCAAATTATATTTTTAAGATTTTTTCCATATCGCTCACTGTTTCAATCGTCATTTGAAGAGTAATCTGTGAAAGTTACAGTTATTTATTTTAAAAATTAAAAGAATGACAGCTATTTCTTTTTTATTGTACAAAATTATAGAATGACGTAACTTTGTATATGTACTAATTTTTTTTTCTCAAGTTTAAAGACATAAAATTTTGATAGCCGGATGACTCTTCTTTCATTTAAATTTTTGTGAGGTCGATTTGATCAATTAGATCAAAAGTTATAACAAATTTAGTGTAGCGCGCTCGGGACCGCGCGTACTTCGAGAGCTATACTTGGGGTCCGCCCGTCTCATTTTTCGTACGTTACAAAAAAAATTCTACAGCCCTCAATTCGCATTTTAGAAAAAACTTTATTAACATTTTTTATGTAAAATTTCCTGTTCTTTCGATTTTTTTTTAATTATATTTTTTTTATATATATTGCAAAAACTGCAATTTTGCAACTAATTTGTTAAATAAATAATTTAGCGTACACTCTACAGTTGATAACTTTTTATATGTTGTTTCTGACAACTTTACAAAGCGAAAAATAAAATGTTCTCTCTTCCCGTAATTTTCGCCAAAATCTATCTTGACCCCACTATTTATTTTTCTAGTTTTTATTAGAAAACCAATTTGAAATAGTAATAAGTCAACAAATAACCTAAAATGCTACAAACTTACAACCTATCTACTGATTAATATTGACATTAACATTTATGGTAAAGCCGTAATTTGATGCCAAAGGATTATTGGAATCATTTTGTGATTGTGGTAAAATAGAACAGGTTGCCCCTTTGCTTGTGCTTGCTTCAGGAGTCTACACCCCTTATTGTATCTCTTTAGCAATATCAATTTTGCTGGAAATTGACTCTTCTATATAACCTTCTACCACGGTAGATGACTTCCACCCACCATGGCGTTTGAGTGTTGTAATATCCCCTCCACCATTGGCCAAGAGAATTGCAGATGCGCGACGCAAGCCATGTCCTATATATAAATTAGAATCTGTCAAGCCCAAAAATCGCGCAACAACATTAGGGATATTTGATATCTTATTAATACCAACACATTAACGTGTGCATTTTCCCTTTTGAAAATTGCAAAAGAACCTTTTATGCTGCACATTTTGAGGCTTTAGCTAAGAATTATTTTCTAATTAATTCAATTGGATTAACACAAAATCCTTCATTTAACATAGCGATGCTTCTTGGTTTATTCGTTTAAGTATTTGAAATCATGATGTGGATATACTGCCCTTTGTGCTCTATCTTGTCTATGCTTAGGTCAGTCAATTCCTCGCAATGGCAAGCGCCAAAAACTCCTAATATCAACGCCATCTAAAAACAACAAATTTAATAAATATAACTATTCAGTAGAATCTACTATATTTATAAGATGATCTTCGTCTAGGGCTTCACACAAAAATTGTTCGATTTGTTCTCTTTCTAAGACCTTGGATTTTTTTGGTTGAAAATGTTTCTGCTTAGACATTAGAAATGCCACTAGTCTTCCGAATTTAGAAATTTCAATGTTATTGTAAACTCTCAAAGTTGACTTCAACATGAAATATTTAGTCCAGAATGTGGATGCAGCTAATTTCTCACTTAAATTGAAAAAAATAAGCCAGCAAGACATCTTCATTTACGCCTTTCACCCCTTCTTTGATTTTCCAATCTTGAAATTCCTCCAGTTCATTGTTTTATATAGATTTTGATTTCTCCGGAATGATGCCTGGCAGTAGCCACATTAGCTTTTCTCTAAAATTTCAGATGGAATTTCTACATTTTCCATTTTTTTCAGTCTTGGTTTTAGGTTTCAACGTAATTTCAACTCAAAAAATATTGTTTGTTTACTGACAACTCTTGGTTACAGACACAATTTAGGGTGACACTCGCATCATTTGTAATATTAAAAAATACATTCATTTCGTTAAATTACTTTTTCTTACATTGACAACTTGAAATTTTAAATTATTTTTATTTATTATTAAAACGAAATTTTATGAAAGTGTTGGAAAAAATTTTATATGGCACTCGTGTGTTACATCCTTTGGGAAAATTTCCCAGCGTGACGTATATGCTGTAACACACTTGTACCATAAATAACTATTATTATTATTATTATTACTATTACTATTACTATTACTATTACTATTACTATTACTATTACTATTACTATTACTATTACTATTATTATTACTATTATTATTATTATTATTATTATTATTATTATTATTATTATTATTATTATTATTGTTACTTTTTTTTTAATTTGAGTGTGCTCATCTTAATTTTAGGTGCAACATATATCTTGGAAAATCTTACACCGGAAGAATATTACGATTTCCGGTTTGCCGCTACTAATGATGTAGGAATGGGTGCATTTAAAAACGTCCCGTCAATTTCAATGCCCAAACGTTCAGAACCCACAGAACCTAGGATTTTAGTCGGAAGTCATCATCAGAAGGAGGATAATTTGAGTGACAGAGAAAATATCGTCGCTCTTAGCACATATGCTGATCACTTTGAACTAACATGGAGTGTGCCAAATGACAATGGAGATCCTATTCTGTATTATCTCATCAGATATTGCGTGGTGAGTATTTCGATACTTTACAAAGAGAAAGTGTGTTTTTAATATTTTAAATTGCAGACTGAGAAGGTTAATGGCAATTGGGAGGATCGGGATTGTATCCCTGAACCAATTCAACGATCAGTACAATATACAAGTTACCAATTGGATAATCTTCAACCAGACACAGTCTACAAAATTGAATTACGTGCTTACAATGCTATAGGTGGTAGTTCACCTGCACAAATAAGGGTTAGGACAGCAAGAGGTGAGCATCAGCAATATTACACTTATAATACAGATAGCAATTTGAGTTGTACTGTGAAACTGGACTATTTTATAATTTGTCTTTTAGTTTTCAATGTTTTTGTTTAGTTTTTTACCTTACCATTTGTAAGTCTCTCTTTTTTTTGTCGATTTGAATAACCCTTTGAATACTAAACCTACGTAACAAATATTAAGTAAATATATTAAGTACGTAGTACGTTATTTCTTAATAAAATTCATGACACCATGACAATGTACTAAAAATTGTAGATGGTTAACAATAATTACCTCAATTTTAGTTTTAAATTATTCATTATAAAGTTTATTGTAAAGAAAATTGACATCTAAATTTCACTACGAAATTTATACAAACTACGCTGTGGTAGGTACTTGAATAAATAGATACCTAGTAATTACTCATTAATTAATTAATTTATACATTTCATAATTCTGCCATAGTAAATAAATTAATAAATACGTAGTATATTAAAGTTCTGAGAATATGGTTAATCAAATCATTTTATATCTGTAACACTAGTTCTAGTTTTGTAGCTTATATTTTCTTTATTCACTATACTTGATTAATTTTTTTGGTTGCTTTTTGTTAACTTTTTAGTTACATATTTTGTGTGAGTGTTTATTCTCAAATTATTGCTAGAAATATTAAAAGATTTGCTGATATAATAACTATTTAATATAATATAGCAACAGTTTAAACAAAATTATTTCAAAAAATGCTCATAACAGAGCTCATTGAAACAACGATTTCTTTTCGCCTTAGCACACTCTTTTTAAGGGGTAATACCAACGAATTCTAACCACTAGAAGGAGCTTTGTGTATTCTTATACATGTGTTTTAACTGTAGCAAACATCTAAACAGAGACCTACCTAATAAATAAAGATAGATAGTGTCAAACGTAAACAATGAGACACAACGGCAGTGGCGTACTGTCAAAAAAGGCAAAATATTAAAATTTACAAAATACCAATACACATTTGAAAGGATTACTCATTTTATAAATAATTTTTACATATTGGTGATATAATGAGACGGTAAAAATTGAAGTAAAATTAATAAACTGTTTTTACTATACTCAAATTGTTTTGACATCAGTACTGATTAATTAAATGCTTTTATCCCACACTTGTATATAATGATACTATAATTTCTTTGGTTTTAAAGGAATCATGTGGCCTATAAGTCACTAGTGAGTTATAAGTCATAAGTTACTAGTAAGTTATGACTTATAAAACCCACTAGAAATCGTAAAAAGACAAATGTTTGGTTTATTTTTCTAGTTTTTATTAGAAAACCAATTTGAAACAGTAATAAGTCAACAAATAACCTAAAATGCTACAAACTTACAATCTACCTACTTATTAATATTAACATTAACATTTATGGTAAAGCCGTAATTTGATATTTGAAGGAGCACCATCAAAAGTATCAGATACTATTTTGATACCTAATTCACTTAAAAATTCTGAAAATTTTTTTTAACAAATTAGCTTTTTCTCCACCACTTAAACCGTTTGTCAAGAAGTACCAAACAGGTATTTTCCAATGACTGTTTATAGCTACAACCATAAAAACAAGGGCTTCCGTAGCTTCTGGAATATTATCCCCATATACTTCAGTGCCGACATTAACATATCCAATGAATCGTTTCCCATTCCACTCAACACTTTAGACGTTTCGTCAAATACCATATTGCCCAAAATTTCACTGTTTGTTTCTCTTACTTTCATTTTAACAGCAGCCAATGCTTCATTTGCAAATGCAGGTGTTCCGTCTATAGATCTGTACCACTTAGAAATTGTTTTTGTATGTGACAAAGCCATGTTAAAACTTCTTGAATAAGCATCTGTTGAATAAAAACATTAAGGCAAATGACCTAAGCTCAGGTGAATACTTTTTACGAGATTGTCATTTTCTTGATCTTTGACAGATTTCACCTAACATTCCAGGTGCTGATTCCTAAAAATACATATTGTTTGCAGACACAGAAAGGATAAGTATTTTTCAACTTACATGAATGATACATTGAGCAGTTTCTGTTGTCATATTTCTTTTTCAAAAATTTCAGAAGAGAATTAAAGCTACAAATTTTGGCTTTTAGACGACCCTTTGCCTGCTGCAGACTTCGGATCTTTTGTTTGCAATTTTATTTTTTTCTTACAAATACTCCAATTTTTTCTTGCTCTTTTTGGACTATCCATGTCATAATAATTTAGATAATGATTTAGTCAGTATTTTATCACTGCTAATTAAGTACTAAATGTAAAACACCCTTATGTAATTCCTCAAACGCCGCCTATGTTGCTTGTTTGCTTACCTGTGAAGAGACCGCTGCTCGCCATTTTTAAATAAAACTTTACAAATAACACTTTCTAACTATGTCTTAGCACTAAATAAATGTCCATACATAAAAACTACACAACAATAAGAGGAAAATGCCACACTAAACACAAATAAACTCAAATACGTTAATAGCGGCTACACACTTTTGCTTTGACAGATGTCACCGTCAATCATGGAAATGCGGACGTAGGCGGGAATATTAATTCGACCAATAGAAATTTGTGTCTCCTGAAGATCTGATTTATTTATGTACATTCGCAAACAAATACATCCAAAGCTCCTTCTAGTGGTTACAATTCGTTGGGTAATACCACTCTAGAGGTTATAAAAAAGGTGAATTTAGGGAATTTTGAAGAAAAAAATCGGTACAAGATATAGTGTCAGGACAAAAATGCTTTATTGTACATGTTTTCAGGTAGTATTGTAAGTTTTTTCAAATGATTTGAATTCAGAAGTAGCTGCTGTAGAGTAGATGGCAAGTTACGATTTTTTCCAGACGCCTGAATGACCAGAAAGATTTATTAGTAACAGATAGTCTTGGATCAAAAAAACAAGTCTTATAAAAATTTTTAATAATTAATTAATAATTGATTTAGTGAACATTAAATTTCTAATAAGAATGAAAATTGTTAATCAATCAAAAAACCCAAACTATGTTCCCTGAATTATGTTATTGGGAGGCTCTATACAAAATTTCAAGTCGATTCATTGAAAACTTTTTGAGTTACACTTCCGGCCAGTTAAAAAAAAATAGTTTCTCGAAAAACGCTTTTAAAGTTTTTGTTGCCATTCAGCATAAGAAATTCGTTATACTCATTTTCAACCAGCGATCACATAATTGGCCCTCTATGTTGATAGTTTCCTCATCCTCTTTCTTTTCGGCCTGATCCGAGACTCAATCTGACCTCTATAATAGCTCTTGCACGTTCTCACGAGTTACAATAAGCACTAGTGCGCTGGAATAAGTTGTGCTGCACCTCAAAACAATTCGTGTTCCTGATTTATCCCCCACCTAAAACTATTTTCCTATATTCTTCACATAGTAAGGCATTGTTTAAAGCATTTATCCAAAATACGATTTTTTTTTTAATTCTAGAATAGCTTTACCCCTTGAGCACACCAGATTTATTTATTATTTCCGTCTATTGAAAGACTAAATTAATTTATAATTTTCGAAAATTTTATTGATTTTATTGCAATAAGCAATAGTTTTTAACATTCTATAGATTGGAGCAATTTACTTTTAATATTTTTAGTAATTGTTTTGAAAAGTATGTGTGAAGTTTATCTATTTAAATAAATTTCCCAGCCTCTTCAGGATTATATTGGAATTCTGCACTGAGAACACTTTCATGTTTCTCTCTACAAGCTGCAATGACTATAATAGTGATCTGTGTGCGTCATTTTAAATGGTGCTAAGTAGTTGAAAATGAAACTTTAAAACGAGAGTGTAACTCTGTTTCTAAATCAAACATTAAATGTGTTCAAAATTGGTATATTACCACAGTTGTAAATATATGTTTCATCTGACAGGTGGATAAAATATACAAACTATAGTGATGTCATAATATTACTTTTGAGGATTTTTGTAGAACTTAATTTACAAATTTATTAGATGAAATATATTTTATCCACCTTTCTATTTCATCTCACATAGATATAAAAAGATGTACGGTATTTACCTCTGGAGAAGAATTAAATATGTAAATCCCGTATTTCTTTTTATTTGGCTTCCTTGCATGGATGACAACATTCCATTTAAATCCTATTTTGCAATTGCATGGTGGCGCAAAAATGCCTATTTTTTTATTTTCTTATTTCTTATAGTTAAGGCAGCTTTTAATGTGGAATCCGTTTTTATTGGGCTTATTTTTAATTCGTTTGTCTCATTACTAACATTGTATAAATACTATTTGTGTACACTACTACATTCAAAACATGTCTCTGAAAACAAGAGGACAACATTGTAGAAAAAATATATTTTTAAAAATGATCTGATATTTCAGTCAAAATATTATATTCATGTGCAACATATGCAGAAAAATACATATTTTGTGTGTAATATTGTACTGAAAATTTAAATTTGTGTGCAGTATGATTGAGAGCATGTTTAAATTATACAGAAGTATTGTCGATTATCTTCATATTCGCTGCCAATCATGACTATTTTTATTTAAACATCAAGAACTTAATGTACATTGTTTATCTACCATTAAGAGATAAAATAATACCTAGTGATTTTGACATTAAACTTTATATCAACTCTTGCAACATAATTGAAAGAATTACATTATCATCCCTTTTAATATTATTAGGAAAAAAATATGTTACTGTTGCTAATAAAATTTTAAAAATCTAATAGGTAAGTAATGCTTGAATATATTCTTTAATAAAATTTCAAAATACAGAAATAATTATATCTTTTAAACACATGTACGCGCATACGTACACAATGTTCTGGTACATATTCAAATCAAAATCATATTAAAAAGAGGGGCAATTTGGTAGTGTTATTATTGCTGATATTGTAAGTATATCATTTTCAGTTTGTTATGAACTTTATGATAATCAAATTGTTGTAATATGGAAAGATTTATCGTATTTATATTTAGAAATTTCTAATATAAATAATAATTTGTTTTGTAATGAATATTTTATATTTATAATGTGCTAGATTTTAATAACGGATGTTGAAAAGTAGGTTGTAATCAAAGAAAAGACTGAGAATTCTATCAGATATGTTGTAATAAAATCTTTAATGTCAAATATTATATGTAAGCTAAATTTTGTTTTTTTTAACTGCATGTTTTTGTGCATGTACATTGTTTTTGTATTTGATATTTTATTTTTTTTCCAGATATATTTTAGTTGACGAAACTTGGTAGTGTTTTAATTATTTTTCTTAGTGCTATTTGGACAATAACATTTCTTAAATTTAATGGATATAATTTTATTGTACTTTTTGTTTAATAAAAAAAATAAATAAATCTTCAACGTCACCTTGCTTATTATTGTTATATAATGTCCGTCAATATAGTTGTGCTTTTGTTTATCCCGTGAAGTGTTCAAAGTGGCTTTCAGTGAATTTATCTAAATGAAAACTACAAAAAGGACAAACAGCATAAAGTGTACGTAGCTTAAAATTCAGAAATTCCAAAGTAATACAAATTATCTGTAGAATAATTTATACCGTTGGAATTTCTGGAAATCTATGTGTAATCGTAAAGGCAATTCTATACTTTCAGCTTCTTCAATTTATTTTTAGCTTTTCTGCATGTTGTTTATACTATATAATATAGTCTGTAATATACTAACATATACACCATAGTTTTCATAAAAGTATTTTTGTGGAAACTATTTTTACACAATAAAAACGGATTAATACATATTTTTCCAATATTTTCAATCATTTAATGTGCGTTCTTGTGTATTCTATAATTCCAGCAGTACATGCTATTTTGGTTTATATTAATTTAGCATGGTCTGTTCTAGATTTAGAATAGTTGGTACATATAATTAGTTATATAAATGTTAGTGTTTAATTACAAATACCACACCTTACTCTCATAAAAATTATCGATATCAAACACAAAAATAAAATAACATTGGCAACACTTTATTTATAGGTATACAAGGTGTGCATGTAGTGGATCCTTCTTCCATCATAGTCAGAGATTAAAATCTTGTGGGAATATCAGTGGAATTAAAAATGTTATCTTTAAATTAGTGTCAGGTCTACTGGGTATTGTGGAAAACTGTGACGCACAAATGTGTATTTTTTTAAAGAGACCATGAATTTTCTTAATCCCATTAAAGCCTTAATTATGCTACGTTAAATTTAATTTGATATTTGATAATTTTAAAAAAATCGCATGTTTATAAATTTTTATAATGTTCTACATGGTACAAGAAAATCTTTTTCATCTAGTCATATTAGCGATTTTTCATTAAACATTCCACATCCTCGAAAACCTGAAAACTCCAAATATCAAAAAATTATAATTATGAATAACTCGGCTAAGAAAATGCAAAATCTTGAAATTACTGAAGTAGGAAAAAATGTGATGGTTTGGTTATGGGGAGCTTTATAATTAAATGAAAAATGTAGAAACAAGTATCAAACTTGATAATAAAAAAAATAAATACACGTTTGTTTGTCATACTTTTCTTTTTGCAAGACCCTGGACAAGTCACTAATTTCATTGATATTCTCACGAGATTTTTAACTAAAAGGATAAAGCTATGATAGAAAAAGAGTTCACTAAATAAACATCCTGAATAACTAAAATTATAATTGGTTGTACTTCATATGGGTAGGCGTTATCAATTTTTAATTTGTTTTTTAACCAAAATATATTTTTTTCTGTAACTAATAAAGAATAAATTTTTCAAAACTTTTTCAAATAACTACATATATATACAGGTTCGGAAAGTTCCCATGGTTCATCAGCCGTTACGTGAGAGCGATAAAGTAAGTCATAGAAATCCGTACGATAGACAAGGATGGTTACATTGAAGACGTTTTATAATCTGAATAGTTCTAACTCAAAACGGGCGGTGACTATTCAGATTATGAAATATCTTCACTATAACCATCCTTGTCTATCGCATGGATTTCTTTACTTTACTTTGTCGCTCTCATGTAAAGGCAGATGGACCATGTGGATTTTCCAGCCCTGTATATACATATTTTTGTTTTTAAGATTGAAAGATAAGCATTTGCTGTATACAGGGTGTCCGCAAATTTCACCGACGATAAATAAATACGATCTACGAAAAAAAAAGTTATAAAAAACTTTTTGGTTTTTGAGTTACAGGCCTTCAATGTTGTCAAAAATAAAACTACCTAATTTAATTAATAACTTCATGATCCTCTTACCGTTCGTCTTAAAATTTGCCACATTCATTTGGACTATTATGGAGTATTATTTCTTAAACTTTACTCAAATTAATATACTGGATGATAGTTTTCTCTAGTTACCTCTCCCTCGAGCTCTATCTTTTAGCAGTCAAAACTTTTAGTGGTCGTATTTTTTTAAAACGGGCGGCAACATTGAAAAGGTCGTTTTATTAAAAAAAATTTGTCTCTGTGGCTATCAGGTAATGACATTATTGTCGTGTTTCTTTAGGATTCTCATCACTCCACAGTTGCAAATTATGAAAATTTACAACTCCGTTCTTTATAAAACAAGATTCGTCGGTACAAAATAATCGATAAAAGGGTTCTGAAGTTATTATTTAAATTAGTTTTATTTTTGACAACTTTGAAGGCCTGCAACTCAAAAACCAAAAATTTTTTATTTAACTTTTTTTCGTAGGTCGTATTTATTTATAGTTCTGAAAATGCAATCAAACTTTGTCGTTGAAATTTGCGGACACCCTGTATATTGTCAGCTAACCTCCACTGAATTTGCAAAAAGCGTTGCACATAGACGTGCAAAACATATTTTTGCATGATCAATTTAGAAATAGATACAAACAACTGTTATTTTTATCAAAATACTATATTTTCTTAAAGTTGCAGCATTATGAAGTTGAAAAGAAGAATGTTAGTAAAAGTACAACTACATATAAGGAAAATTGAATTTCATAAAAAAACACTTGATTGTATCTCTCGTAGTTGATTGTGAAAAAATAATATTTTAGACTTACATCAGCAACTTATTTTCAAGGTATTAAGCGAGGTATATTTTAATTTTTTTGTACCTACAAAATGTTTTATCAAAATTTGACGTGTGGTTGCAAGAATTTAAAATTAGGTATATTTATTTGTTATTGTTTATATGCTTATAAATAAGAACGCCTACCTTTATTGCATCACAATTATTGGTTCTCTGAAAACCATTATTTAAAAGTATATTTTTAAGACTACAATTGAGGAAATCAATCCTATAGATTTTCTGATACTAAACACATGACATTCCAAAATAACGGCTGGCAAATATTAATCAATATCTACTCAAATATTTTGATATTGCAATTTTTAATTATTTTTAAAATCAGTGGCGGCTAGTGAAAGTTAAAGTATATATATATAT